CCTTAGAGACATTTGGTGCATCATTTAACTGGTGTGCCAGTTAAAAGCATTATTCAGGTGCATCATTTAGGCCTACAGCACAAAAGAATGTATTTTATAAGAAAGGTAGGACTTGAGATGTCCTTTAAACACTAACTGGCAAGAACAGAATTAGAAGAGGAGGGAAAAAACCTGAGGAAATCAATAAGGAAGGGATGTAATATGTGGAGAAAGATTCCACAAAACCAACTGGACTATGACCTACTTAAAGCTCACTTAAAAAGAATCACGTTTCTCCATAAGACAAGGATTCTCTTAGTGGTGAAACATAGGAAGCTGGGATCTTAGCCTCTTAAACTACCAAAATAAGAGGAAACTGATCCCTTCTACTCTGTAGACACAATCCTGATTCCCACCACAGGAATCGTCTCATTCTGTGGCTTATGCAAGGGCAATCTTTCAAGTCTTTGATTCCTAATTTTCCCTACAGAATATTAGAGTAGCAAGAATCATCTAATTTCTAAAGATTTATGAGTATATTTTTATTCCACTAACAAAGATTTACCAAGCCCCTACTGTATCACCTCTCTATTAAGAAATTAAGCTGTATCTTCCTAACAGTTTTAACTACTGGCTATATTCGTTAAAGCCTGGTACCACTGGGTTGGCCAAAAAGTCCGTATGGTTTTTTCCGTAAAATAAGACATATTTTTCATTTTCACCAATAACTTTATTGACTGGGGTATTGTGAGCTTGTTAGCTATCTCCCGCATGGTATAATGTTCATTGTTCTCAATTGAAGTTTCCATTTGGCTGCTGTCAACCTCAACTGGTCTACCAGACCATGGAGCATCATCCAGTGAGAAATCTCCAGCACCCAACTTCGCAAACCACTTTTGACACATCTGACCAGTCATAGCACCTTCTCTAAACATTGCACAAACTTTTTTATTGCATTTGTTGCATTTTTGCCTTTCTTGAAATAATAAAGCATAATATGCTAAAAACGTTGTGTATTTTCTTCCATCTTCAATGTTAAAATGGCTACACAAAAATTCACCAATTTTGGTAAGTTGGTTTTTTTTCAATGCACTGCTGACATGACAACTGTCACAATACAATGAACAAAATTGTTTTGAATGAAGTTCAAGACAACTAAGTGCTACTAGAGCCATCTCGGAACACACACACTTTTTAGCCAACCAAGTAAAACTGTCCTACTAAATACCTTCTCTTGAAATATTTTGCTTCTTGAAGTTGTGGACAAAAAGGGGACTCTATAATAAATCTAACTGAAAGCAGCATCACAGGGTGATCTGATCATAAATTCCTAATTGGGCAGGTCAGGGTGGTGATCTGATCATAAATTCCTAACTGGGCAGGTCAGGGTGGTAGTCATGCCTCAGATCTGTAACTTACCTAGTAAAAGGGTATCTTTGCCTTAAGCAAGCCCTGTTGTTTTGGTGTATCCAAGGCTAACACAACACTGAAAAGCCTCTTTTTCAGATCCCTGGGAAGCATAACCACCCTCAGGAGAACATACAATCTTGGTAAGAAGTATCCTATAATTCAACCCCAGTCTTGATTTTGCTGTTTCCAACCTTCATGTAATCTTCCTTATGTTCCCTCCTAAGTTCTAAATGTATAAAAGAAACTATAAAAACAGTCATCCTCTGGAGCGTAAGATCTTGCTTCCCAGCATTGTTGCTAGTTTGGATGAAATAAACTTCTAAAAATTCCCTACAGGTCTGGACGTTTATTATGTCGACAGACTGTTCAACTATCCCACATATCATGACCAAACTTCTGTTACCTTCTTTGTTCTACCAATATCTCTACTTTGCCATTTTCAAATAACTATTCTTTTCCATAAGAATTTCCTCCTCACAAGTTGCTGGACCAATCACACCCCAGCAACTGTCTGGTGCAATGACTGTGTGAATCTACCTGTCTCTTACTAAGACTATGACTTATTCTTTAACTTCTCTATGTCTCTACATAAAACTGTAACTTTTTCTTTAACTTCTCTGAGATTCAATCTTATCTTTAAAATGGGTAGAACAGTAGGTATTAAGGACTAATAAGAATTACATAATATCTTCCATTGCCATCCTTCTTGAATTTTTAAACTTTAATTCTAGTTTCCTTTAAATGCAATAAAATGCTTTATAGACGAAGACACTTAAACTGAGATAGCAGAAAATACGGGAAAAGAAAAAGTGTGAAAAAAAAACCAAAATGAATATAAGTAAACTTATCAAGTGGAATTACAGCTCTATGTAATCTCCTTCTTTATCCAGATTCTAAAGAGGGAAATGTAAAGATCCTTCCCCATGGCAGGCAAAATTCTAAGAACCCTCAATGACTAACATTCTTGTCTAATCCCCTTCCCTTGAGTGTGGGAGAGATCTTTAGATGTAATATTAGGATATTACTCTTGTAACTGAGGATAAAAATTAGATTTCTGCATTTATATTTAAAGTCCCTAATCAGTTGAGTTCACAAAAAAGGAAATTATCCTAGGTGGGCCTGACCTAATCAGGTAAGCTTTTAAAAGAGGTTTTAAAGGAGAGTCTAGAGGTGTAAGATAGAGGAAGTCAGAGACTGGTCCATCTTGCCTAGATGAAAGCAAATAGCCATGTTGTAACTGTCTAGGTGAAAAGGTAGTACGGAACTGAGAATGCTTCCTGGCCAAGAGCTGGGGGAAAAAATCCTCAGTCATACAGCCACAAGAAAATTAATTCTGCCAACAAGTAGTGAGCTTGGAAGAAGACCTTATGCCTCAGATGAGAACTGCAGCCACAGATGACATCTTGATTTCAGCCTGGTGAGATGCTGAACTGAGAACCTGCTTACAAATAGTACCCAGATTTCTGACCTACAGAAGCTGTGGGATAATAAAGAGCTGTTGTTTAAGCTGCTAAATTTATGGTACTTTGCTGTACATCAAAAGCAAACTAATACTCTCCCTCAACATAGGACAAAGCAGCAAAGAAAATAAAAGGGGCGGGAGGAGTAACTTCTATCTTTTTCCCTAGAGTGTATTATACTTCCTCAAAGCACTAATTATATAGATCCAGAACGAAGGAAAAAAGATTAAAACTGTATAAAATTTTAAAGTTTCAGCAATTAAGAGGCTTTTTTTTTTACACACATCTTGTAAACAACTACCATATAATTTATTACCTTCATTCTAGTGTTGAGGAAAGTAAAACTCAAGAGTGACATCCCAAACATCACAAATTTAGGGAATGTTTAAAGTAACTTCAGTCCAGTGCTCACCCCTACACCACAGGTCCCTTAAAGCATTAAAAAAAAAAGCCATTGAAATCAACAGTAATTCTATTACTGTTTTCAAAGAAAGCAATCCTAGTAACAATTTTCCATATTTCACATCTAAATATCCCTTACCTTTGTCAAAACAACAAAACTAAAGAGAATAAAAAGAAATTTCCATTCAAAAGTAGTTTGTTGTAAAAATAAACATTGGTATACAACTTGAATAAATTTAAATTTTGAAAATGTAGCAAAACACCTGTAGGTTTTCTAGAGCTTTAGATAGCAAACAATTTGTGTTATAATTATTCTCCAAAATCACAAGCAAGTAAACAACCTTTCCAGATTTTTCAATATTCCACCCTTTGGACAAATTTTTGAATCTGAATTCTTCATACATTATAAAAATGACAACGTGGCAAACGGTATCATAAAATAAACAAGTTGTTTTTATTTTAACTGTTGTATTTCCCTAAGTACTTGAGCATCAGAATTTGCAATGTTCTTAAAAACACACACACAAAACCTTATAGTTTTTGCGTTATAGTAAAATTTCAGAGGTTACAAATCAACTTTCTTGATGTCAATTCAACTACTTTAACAAACACTAACTTCATTTGCTAAGATGCAAAATACAGTCCTTCGTGGTTACAACCACGAGAAGGAATAAACTATCTTCTTCACACCAACGTGAACGGCAAATAATTCGCTATCATCACATACAAACAGAAACATAAACAGCATTGTTGAGTCCATAAGCTTCCAAAACCATCTCATGACTTATACCGCCGGGGCACGATTCTCTGTAAGGAGAACCGGTAACATTTCTCACGTGGACAGAAGGGGTGAGGTGACAATCTTCAAATCTTAAAATTTCTCAGACCCTACGGAATACAAGCAGCACCCAGTTCAGACCCCCCTGACGAGGCCCAGATCCAACTCTAAGCACTCCCGTTTCCCAGCTCTTCACCCCGCCCCCACCCCAAAAGGGAAAACAACTTTTATTGGTCTCATCTCCCGGGGGTAGGCAAACTAGCGGGGCAGTGCTCGGGCCTGGACACGTTTCACAAGAAGGCCTCCGTCGGGGGCGGGGAAGCCAAATAGCGGGAAGCCTGGCTTCGACGCCCCTTTCCCCCCGACGCCAGCTCCCAGCCCCACCCCACCAAGAAAAAGCCTGGGCCGGCCGACAAGCCGAGCGACCCCCAGGCCCCGCCACGGAAGCGAGCTCGTTGTCTGTCATGTGACGACGCTGCCGCTAAAACACCGCAGAAACGCAGGGCGGCGGAAGGCGTTCGCACCAGCCCGCCTCAGCCCGGCCCCGCCGGGCGCGGGCGAGTCCCGAAGTCCGGACGGGGGGAGGGCGGAGGGCGGGCTTGGCGGCGGGCCCGAGCGCGCCACAAAGGCTTCCGAGCCCGTCGCCGTAGTGCTCGAGCGGGCGGGGGCACAATTTTCGGGGCCCGCGGGATGGGTGACGAGCGACGAGGGCTCCAAGGTGCCGCCGCGCCCACAGCCGCCGCCCCCACGCGCCCGAACGGTCACTGACCGCCGTACCGCGCACAGGGCCGCGCGGCCTCCCTCCCCCGCGCGGAGCCCGCGCCGGGCCCGCCCGCCCGCCCGCTCCCAGCTCGCGCTTCTCGCTGTCTCCCGGCCTCCATTTTGGATCGGCGTCTCCAGCCCCCGCGCTGCTGCCGCCGCATTCCCCCTCTTTCCCGCCCCCCGCCGCTGTCGCCGCCGCCCGTACTCACCTCAGCTGCCCATCCGGGCTCCGCCGGCCGTCGACCTAGTTTCCCCCCAAAAGTCTCCGGTGTGTTATTCCCGATGTGGGGGGGTTGTTACGGGGTGGTCGCCGGGGGTTCGGGAGCGGGGGCCGCGCCTTCAACGGAGCTGCAATCCTAACCCGCCATCTGGTGGCATTTTCCACACGCCAATGGCGCCGCTGCAGACTTGGGTCCGGACCGCCCTCTGCTGGCCGCGGTGCATACTGCCTCGCTGACGGGACGGGCCTGCCCGGAAAGGGGAGGGAGCTGAGGCGCGAGCCAGGGTCCAAAACGGGGACGCGCGCAAATGCTTTCCAGTGGGGGTTGCGCGCACGCGCACCAGCGGGGCGGGAAACGTGGCCTCTGCGTGGCGGCTCCGCCCCTTCACGGAGTGCTAGGCCCACTCGGCCAATCGCAAGCGGCGGATACTGCTGGGTGAGGGCGTTGTGGACAGTTCTCGGGCCGCTTGAGGCGGGCGGAAAGACAGCCACGGTGGCGCCTGCGCATCTAGCTCTAGCCTAGTTGCTGCCCGCCATTTTTGGAGGTTTACCTAGGCTGGGAGGGAAACCCGCCCCCGGCTGCGGCCTCTTCAACACGGCTCCTCCCCAGGTCGCGGGAGTGGCGCTTTCTTACTGCCCCCAACGCTGCGTGGGACGCGCTCTGCGGAAACGGGAGGGAATGGCAGCTCAGAACTCCGTTCCCACCTCTCCTGTTTAGCTGGAGCCTCAAAACCTTGCATTGTTTTGGCGATTTATTGTTGACTTTTGACGAAGCGCTTTACCGCGCGTTGTAGCTGTTTGGAACCTTCCTCGCCGCAGATCTAGACACTGGAGTACCCGCCCTGGGCCGATTGGCGTTTTCCCTGACTCGGTAAAGCAGATCCTCTCTGTGGTTCCGGCTTTGCATAAGGCGGCAGCATTGGCCAGTTAGTGAAAAAGGAATGCAGCTAGGCTGGCAAAATACAGAGTCAGCTTCTGAATTAGATTTTTTCCTCCCACGTTTTAGGACTACTCTCAGTGCCTCTGAAGTGGACAGTCCTACCTTTATACACGCCAAAAGGGAAATAACGGACTAATGTGAAATTAGGGCCACAATATGCCATTGAACGTGGACTCTTCACTACTCTTCACGCCTGCCTCACCACGGCCTTGGCCGTAGCCCCTACCTTCCCGTGGCTCACAACTTTTCAAAGCAAATCGAACCCCTAATCTCTCAGGTAGTCAACCTCATATGACTAAAATTCTCTTTTGCTATAGTAATGCCTCAGAGTCAATTCCTTTATAGTCTTAAGGGCCAATCTCATAGGTTACCCCTAGTTCTGGTTTTTCTCCCAAGAGTCACAATGTGTGTGGCTTTTCACTGGAGGAAGTCAAAACTGACCTGGTCAGGTGTGAATTCGAGACTAAACTCCCACTTAAAATTATTTTATTACTAATCTCTGGTTGCCTCTTTCTCACAGTTTCCTTGTTCAAGGTGCCAGTCCCAATACATAACTTCACCTGGTTTCTTGGGATCAAAGCTATGGGATTCCCATTCTAGTTTGAGATTATCTCCATATTAAAATATCTGTAGCCACATCCTGTTTTTGATCTCAAAAATTCTCATTAAATTAATCCATTCTCCCCTTCTCTCCAAAACCAGTCTTTCTCCCTGGACTGCATATGCCACCCTTCCCACTCCCCTCTCCCACCATTTAATGGGGGTCTTATCCACTGGCTTGTTCCTGCTTTTAAATACAGCTTCCATTCTTTTAAAAAATTCAGTGCTACTACTACTTTCAGTTACTGTACTGTTAACTGTAAACCTAAGTTAATTTTATAATGTAACAAAGGATAAAAAACCATGTATTTGACCAAAAAGGAGCTGCATCCCAGGACATGTAGATTTAGGTAGCAACCTAAATTGCTACCTAAATCTACAATCCACCAAGGGGTGGCCACATTTTATAGCAAAATTTCCCACCCAAGTTCTCAGGTCTTTTTTTATGAAAATGAGATACCCAAATTGCACATTTCTGTTGGACAGGGCACATCTCAGCCCATTAAGAGGAAACCAGGGGTTCCCTACAGTTGACATCAGCTAACTAGCATAAGCGGGCAGTCAGGACAAGGTGCAGGAAGCCAAGAATTCTGTCTCAAGTTCTTAGTACCCGGAGTATGTGAGAAGCCCGTCAGCAAATGGTCGCTAGGATCTTACTATTTATAAAATTTGGGTCCTCATTTGATCATGGGAAGTCCATTTCAGCAGATAAATTCCTTCGTGTGGTTCACATCAAATGAATATTTTTGGGGTCCACACAACCTTTCTCAAAAGAGTCACCCCTTCATTTCTACCTTACTCTTTAGCTTTTATCAGTGACTCCATGACAACAAATTGAAGTTACACATTCAAGTTACCAGAGTTCTAATTTCCAACTGTTTCATTGTTTTTCATTTTCTTGGCACATCCAATACCTATTCCCCCTTTGAAACCCCGTTTCTCTTGCTTTTAAGACAATTTCTGGGTTCTACAACCTACCTGGTCTTCTGATTCCTTTGCTAGCTCCTCCTCATTTTTCCATCCCATAATTCAACTCCTAGTTCTCTGTTCTTCAATACTATGTTCTTTCTCTTCAAAAGTCTCCCAAAATTGCTATCTTCCTGATTTTTCCATAACTAAGCTTCCTCATGTTGAGCTTACTTGCCAGAAGACTCCAGCTCAAAATTTAACTTATAGAACAATGCATCTTTTTTTATTTGAATTTCCTAATTTCTCGTAATATCATCATAATTTCAGCAAATGTAACAATAAGAACATGGACTCTGGAACCAGACTACTCTGGAAAGCTTTTTGATTTGAGCAAATCTCTGTGTGTCTCAGTTTCCTTAACTGTAAAATGGCTATAACAATAGCACCCTCTCTCATATAGAAATGTCATTAGTATTATTACATTGTTTTTATCTTGTTGAGGAATTTTTTAGTAATTTTAAAAAAATACCTAAGAACATGAGTGGTCAACTTTCTGAGTTTATAAATATCTAAAATTTTCTTCATTTTGATCTCTCACTTGAATGGTGTTTGTAAATAATTACCTAGTCTTAGGCTCTAAATTGTCGGGTGAGACTTGACTCTTTTCCTGCAAAAAAGCCACATCCCATCATATTCACATTCAAATCCCTTGCTTTTTCTTCTGCTCTATCTTAGTTGAAGCCCTTCCCTCCCCACTAATTCCGGTTGTCTTACACGAGAACAATTATAATAGCCTTCTGAAAAATCATTGTCTTTCATTCCCGTCCCTTTAAACAATGTGCAAAAGCCCTGCCCAGTGCAGCTTAGTTGGTTGGGCATCCTCTCCCAAAGCCAAAGGTTACTGGTTTGATTCCCAGTTAGGGCACATACTCAGGTTGCAGTTCCATTCCCAGGCAGGGCCTGTATGATAGGCAATAGATTGAAGTTTCTCTCCCTCTGTTTCTCCCTTCCCCTCTTTCTAAAAATAAAATCCCTAAAAATAAAATATTTTAAAATAATAAATAAAAAATTTTAAGTGCACAAAAACGTTCTGTGGGTCATATGATTTACAAAATATAATCTAAAATACTTAATGACTTTAAAGAAATGCCTTGGTCTTTTTTAAATTTCTATTTTATTACAAATTTTCACGTTAGTTGGTCTAGTCAGGTAAATCATAAATGTAAGCAAGTAAGATAAAGTAATAGGTTCCATAATGTGTTGACTTTGTTACAAAATTACACATTTCCAAGGAGCCTCTGCTTCTATGAAAGTTTAAATCAAGATTCTTGGCAAAGATTTTCAACACCGTAATTTTCATATGTAGCTTTGAGCCAGAGGTGTGAACAAAATATCAAAAAGAATATCTGGAACTAGTATGGGTAGTAGCTAAGGGTTCTTAAGTATTATTTAGGTTAGGGAATAGAGTATCAATAGTACAACTACTTGCTTAGTTCAAGATTCTTGGCATTGGAATTTCTGCCTCATTGCTCATTTCAAATGATCCAAAATGGGATTTGGCCCACCTTGAGGATTCATCCTTGATAGGTCAGATTTCTACAGAAGAAGACACATGCTCATTAGACTTTTATTTCAATCTTTTAGCCAACCTGGTCCAAAAGTAGATATTTAATATTGCAAATTTTAGAATTGCATTTACAAAACTACATATCAATGTAAATGTAACAAATACATTCCAAATTAATGGTTAACCAATAATATAAATAACATTGCCTTTATAACACAGCTAATTTGTGACAATTTAGATGGCAGAACTCCTTTAAAAATTTGGCTGAATTGAATTTCTTTCCTTTCTGGATAATTTTTCTATGAAGATCTCTTAAGTTATTACATGGACCTTAGGGTTCTGCTTAAAGTAATATTCAGCCAACTTGTTTTCATGGTGATGATGGTATTTCTTTTAACAGAAAGCTTTTTTTAGAATGATTTTTTCACGGTAGTTTTAGGTTCACAAAAAAGTTGAGAGGAAGATACCAAAATTTCCCCATTATCAACATCATTCACCAGATTGATGTGTTTGTTACCAAGGGGGAACCTATATTGATACATCATAATCACCCCAAGTTCATACCTTAGGGTTCATTCTAGGTATTGTACATTCTATAGGTTTGGACAAGTGTATAATGATACATGACCATCATTATCATGTCATACTAGTATTTTCGTTGCCCTAAAAATCTTGTGTGTTCTGTGTCTTCATTCCCCCCTCCTCCTCACCCCTGGCTAGCACTTTCTTTTTATTGTCTCCATAATTTTGCCTTTTCTAGAATGTCATATGGTTGAAATTATACACTATGTTGCCTTTTCAGATTGGCTTATTTAGTAATATGCATTTAAGCTTCCTCCATATCTTTTAGTGGCTTGATAGTTTATTTTTTAGTGTTGAATAAAAGTCCATTCCAGATGTACAATAGTTTATTTACCCATTCCCCTGTTGAAGAACATCTTGGTTGCTTCCAAGTTTTGGGAACTATGAATAAAGCTGCTCTAAACATTCTTATGCAGCATTTTTATGTGGACATAAGTTTTCAATCCCTTTGGGTAAATACCAGGGAGTTTGATTGCTGGATCATATATTAAGAGTATGCTTAGTTTTATAAGAAACTGAAATTGTCTTCCAAAGTGGCTTATTTTGCAGTTCCATAATGTAAAAGAGTTCATTTTGCTCCACATCCTCAGCAGCATTTG